TAGCATGCTGTGGGCAAGGGGCTAAACTAAAGATAAAAGATAAAAGCTTGGCAGGGCTTTTCCTTTTTCACTGCCACCTGCAAGGACTGCACCTGCCAACTCTGCCCACCACACTGTAGCCATAAAACTTTCATAAAACCACCGGCTTTGAACTCCCACACCCCTGCACTCCCCTCTGTTTTTTACTAGCCTTTGCCTCTTTTATTCTCTCTCTCTCATTCCCTCTCACCCTCACACACACACTGCACACTCCAGCATGTGGGTTAGTGCTATGTCTGGCACATGCGAGCTATTGGTCAATGTGAGTAGTCGATCAGAAATATAACAGCTAGTATGGTCCAGACCAGGAGAGAAATGGACCTTTGAGTATGAGTGTTTAAAGCAAGAATTCAATTAAATTCAGTTTTATTTGTATGGCTGCTGTTTCAACAGACTTTGTCGCAAAGCATCTTTCCTTCAATGTTGTTACAGAACAGTAAGAACCATTGGTGGGAACCACTGAGAGGAACCAAAACTCAAAAGCCCAAAAATGCATGAAGAAGAAATGCTGAGAGGAACCAAGACTCAAAAGGAAAAACACATTAAACGTGGGAGGAACCAAGACTTAAGAAACCAAGATTTAAAAGGAAGAGCCACTTGGAGGAACCAAGACTCAATAGAAAAAACTCACTAAGAGAATGAGGAAGAAACACTGAGAGGAACCGAAGCTCAAAAGGAGAGCCTTGCCAAGACAATGAGGAAGAACCACTGAGAGGAACTCATTAAAAGTTTACCGAATAAAAACTGAGAGGAACCAAGACTCAACCGGAAAAACTCACTGAGAGCGTGAATAAGAATCATTGAGAATAACCGAGACTCAGAAGCAGAAAATCCCTAAGAACATGAGAAAGAATCACTGAGAGGAACCAAGACTTAAAAAAGAAAAACTCCATAAGAACGTGAGGAAGAACCACTGAGAGGAACCTAGACTCAAAAGGAGAAACCCCTTAAAAGTTTACAGAAGAAAAACTAACCAAGGAACCAAGACTCAAAAGAAAAAACTCATCGAGAGCATGAATAAGAATCATTGAGAGGAAACAAGACTCAAAAGAGGAACCCATTCTCCTTTTGGCCGCACCTGCGAGTGCATTTACAATCATTGATGAAATGTAAAGTGGTAGTAGAAGGTAGAAGTAGAGTGGTAGTATAAGGCAGTCAGAAGAAGGAGATGAGCCAGTGACTAATGTGTTTGATCTGATGGAGTAATGGTTGCGTCAGACATGCACAGGATGTTAGATATGAGAACATGTTGGCTAAGAAGTTCACCGTGAGCCAACAAACAGGTTAGAAGTTCATGCAGGGTTTGGTGGTCATTAAGCTCATTACAAATCATGACAGGATCCCAATGCTGTGCCATGTTTCAGGTCACAGCGCTGTAGCAGACGTCAGTTGTAGTAGTGTTGCTTTCCAACACTGTGATATTGGAAATCATTACTACAGGAATAACAGTTTGTGATAACACTTTACTGGAACCCAATAAATGGCAGAGGTCATATGCTGTCATGACAGATCATCATCTGCGTGCTGAATTAGTGGAGCAGTCAACAAACTCGAGACAAAAGAGAGAATGAAGTTCAGTAATAAGAGATAACAGTGTTAATAAATGAAGTTTTCCCCATTAAAACATTCTATGAGATGCAATTTCTCCTACAGATAAAAATTAGAGTCTGGGAAACAATAACACAGACTGCACAAACATATTCATGGCATGTTTTGCATGTTTTGTCTTCTCACATACATCTGATCTTGAGAGTGGAGCAAGTCTTAGGCTTTGCCCACAGAGTAGAGTCCTCTGGGAGCCGACTGGAGTATCAGGGCCACTTTTACCTGCTTTGTGGATGTAGCCTTATTTTAACAGTGAATATTCTTTCAGCACGTGTAGAAGGCTTGTGGATCCTATAAAGTTTGCTATTTTTAAAGAATGTCTTTAATGCCCTAAGCCTAATTTACGCCTAGTTTTAAAAGCCAGAGAAAAATCTAGACAGAACTGGCCTCCACTATTTGCTTAAAAGTTAAGTAAAGTACCTTAAGTAGAGTATGTCATCAGCTGTGCTTCCACTAGCTCCACGTTTTGCATTTGCTTATGTCTCCTGGCCCTAAACTGCTTGTTTAGCGCCAGTTTTGCACTAAACACATGGGCAGAATATGAGCGTTTGGTGCCTGAAACAAAGCATCGAAGAATGCAAAGGTGAATCCCATCAACCCTCATCAAATAACATTTTGCTTATTTTCTATGAGAAAATAAGTTAACACATCCTCTACAGAGGACGCACTTCTGCACATATTAATGTACTTTTTTTTCTGAATTTAACATAATGAGAAAAAACTGTGTGCCTGTGCGAAACTTATGGCACACTATATATTTTATGTTTTATTTTTTTCCACTGTATGAAACTCAGCAAAAACAAAAAAGTCATAATATAAATTATGCATATAATAATAATATAATAATATATAAAAAACAAGGATGTGTTAACTCATTTAACACACAGGTCAAATTACAAAACATATCATTCAGACTTTTGCATGTGACTGTATCTAAAAAGGAACGCTAAGAATAAAAATATGCCAGAAACACAAATACATATTGGTTTAATATATTTGATAAAACCAGTCCATATGAACTGTAAGCAGAAACATAAAGTCTTTTCACTCTAGTACAGTCACAGGTCCTACAACATTTTACGTTGATGCAGTACAATACCACTTCATTATTAACGATACAAGTATGTTCTAATGAGGAAAGGAAGAACTTTTATGTGAGCGATTGAGCTTTTCACAGGCCTTGTGAAGCATTGCTTATCTAGAAGGGGGTTGATTGGCAAGACATGATAGTAATATTGTGTGAAAAATTACTACACTAGTGTTGCTGAACTTTTGCAAATAAAAGAGACTTCAGTGGTCTCATACAGCTATTTGGAATTTCTGCATAAGCTGCATAAGTGAAGTCTCTCCATTTGACCCCATAATAAGAAGCTAAGAAAAATCCAAATGTGCTTCCCAGTCATGTGAAGTGGGTATGCAGGAATGAGTAAGAGAATATTGAAGGATTGTATTTAGATAGGCCTCGTACAAGAGGTGCGAGTCATGGAATTAATTGGGCGAGTAATAAGTGGTATTGATTAAAGCGAGAGATTGTGGCAGGGGGTTCATGAGGTGAAACAGAGTGAGAAGATGAAAAAAGAGAAGGCGAGTGAAAAGAAGAGACCATCTGGCCTGCATTACCTACCACCATGTCCTCTTCCCCTTAACCTGGCTTAATCCTCTCTCCACGCTCCTCCCCATCCTTCTATCAGTGCATTATCTGCTGTTTACACTGTAAAAAAAACTGAGCTGTGCAAACTAAAAGGGGAATTCCACCAATTTTTAAAATTTCTGAAATTTATAGTGGGTTGATGTGAAATGCACCGTTCTAGAGTCAGAGTTGGTCACACTGGTGGTGATAGGAACCAGGCGTCTGAAATAGCTAATGCTTCTAGAAGCTCCCTCTCAGAAAGTTATTAGATGAAATAGTTACAGATACTTTGTCTGATGCTTCAGGCATTGTTTTACTATAGTTTTGAGATAATGTTTTGACCTAAAACATATTCTTTTTATATATTTATAGATGTGAGGTTCATGCAAGGTGTTGTAAGGCAAAATAGTCTTCATTTACATTTGTTTTACCATATTTAACATTTTAAAAGAATCTATCTCAGAAGACACATGTAGATTCATAGTTAAATTTTTATGGTAAATAAAGTGGTTATATTAGGGGTGACCCTTGGTTCCCTTGCCCACCACAAAAATCTGGGTCGGTCCATGTCTCTGTAGTGCAGAATTTCACATCAGACCACTCTAAATGACATTATTTACATCTCAATGATTGAATTATATGGAAACTTTGAAAAATTATCTTTAAGAAAAAGAGTCAACATTCTGCATTTGCATTTTTAAGTAAACCTAAAAAGTAAACTTTCAAGTACACTTTTTTTGCCATCTCCTTCTTTGTTTTTGTGCTATCAATCCTACATGGGGGCAAGGATTGATATTATATACACTCTTTTAAGTAGTCACTAGTGAATTCTGTGAAACCCAAACTTTCAGTAGTTTTCATTCTCATGACATTAAAAAAAAACCTTGGTGTTTGTAACTTGTAAGTAAGTTAACTTGGGAAAAAATGTGTTTTTTTAAGTTCAGTGAACACACTCTAAAGTGTCAAGTCAAGTCAATGTTTATTCATGTACTGCTTTTTACACTATATGTTACACTCTATAGTTAAAACACCAAGACGTCTTTTTGAGGCCTTACAGTTGGTGATAGTGTAGCTGGAGATTGTAACACTCAGACTAAAGATTGTTGGATGTAAAAGCAAAGCTTTAATGGACAGTCCAGGTATAATATAGAAGTAGAAAACAGACCAAGGACATGTTCATTTAAAAACACCGAAAGAGTCAGCAAACAAGTTAGAAGAACAGGAAACAGGGAAAGATGTCCAAAGAATAATCCAGAGATAAAAAAAAATTGCATTGAGAATTGCATTGAGGATAAAACACTCCACGACTTGGTAATAACTTGAGACAATCAAGGCAAAACCAGCATTATTTTATACTCTAGGTTGATTATCGATAATGAAGTGCAGATGTGTAGAAGGTGGAGTCAGTGGTCAGTAGGCTAGGGATGCTGAGTGCTGAAAGGTGTGACCAGCAGGGGCCATGACAAAGATTTTTCAAGAAGTTCTTCCTCTTCATTGCTGTTGTGTATGGGCCATACTGAGCACTACACCACTTGCACAACAGATAGTAAACAAATGTTTATGGACGTTATTGTATGGTAATACAGTGGTGACAGATGTTTGCAAGAATGCTTAATCGAGCATATGGATCCTTACATCAGGTAGGCCTACACAGATCTAAATTATGTTTTGTAATATCTCTCTCTCTCTCTCTCTCTCTCTCTCTCTCTCTCATGCACAAACACAGGACATGGGACCCTCCAGCATGCCCTCCGTACCCCTCATGGTGGGCTGTGGGGTGTCCTGTACTGCTCTGCTGATTCTGCTGCTCATCTATGCTGCCTTCTGGAGGTAAGGAATGTTCTCAGCTATCTTCCACTATGCTAAAAAATCTTTATGGTTCTTGGCTTGTATGTATGTTGGATGTAAAGTGGTTATTCTGTGGTATCACTCTAAAGCACTTTTTTGCACTCTATTTTTAAGTGTGCAGTTATACTCTTGGCTGCTCTGAACTTCTGGTCAAGGAGCTTCAAGCCATCTCTCTGACATTATCTCTGAGTTCATTGTGTGAGCTATTGCTGGTCAGAACTGCTGCCAGCTGTAACAGGAAATGTGTTTTTTCTGGCCTTTTGAAACTCAAACAAAAAAGAAAAAATTCCACCTCCACAAGCAATTCATTTCTTAGACTTTGCAGCTTTCCACGACGGATTATTCAGGCGGTAAAAGTGAGCGAGAGAGGCTGGCATGGGGCACAGTCGCGCCGGGCCAAAACTGCAATTAGCTGTAATTGGGAACAAATGAGGGCCGGCAGGAGCAGGCTGTGGCAGGGCAGGATTATGTGGTGGGTGCTAGCAGAGGATTGTGCAGATTCAAACAGCAGCAGCTACTGTGTGGCAGATGGCCTAGAGCAGAGACTAACGTCATGTGCTGGGCGCCAACAGCGCTTAGTCAAGTGTCTGCTTATTCCAAGAGTGACTCTGAATTTTTCAGTGTGGTCTGCTCTGCTACAAGTGCTTTTAAGAAAGCCAGCCAAGTGACAATAATAAATGGTTAACCCTTTATAAAGTAATTAAGTGCATGGTGAAATACTAAACTAAACTCTAAGCTAAACTACATTTGTGATTATTACTTATGCATAATTACGTGAACCTCTGCTTTCAGTATCTGCTGTGATCCCCTTTGTGCAGCAATAACTGCAATTAAATGTTTTCAGTAACTGTTGATTAGTCCTGCACATCAGCTTGGTGGAATTTTAGCCCATTCCTCTGTACAAAACAGCTTCATGTCTGTTATGTTGGTGGGTTTCCTCCAATGAACTGCTGCTTCAGGTCCTTCATCAACATTTCTATAGGATTAAGGTCAGGACTTTGACTTGGCCATTCCAAAACATTCACTTTATTCTTCTATAACCATTCTTTGGCAAAATAACTTGTGTGCTTAGGGTCGTTCTCTTGCTGCATGACCCATTCTCCTGAGTTTCAGCTGACGGACAGATGTCTTTTAGAATGTTCTTCAGATGTCCAGATTTTCCTTTAGAATTTGCTGGTATATTTCAGAGTTCATTGTCCTATCAATGGAGGCCGTCCTGGCCCAGATGCAGCAAAACAGGCCCAAACCATGAGACTACCACCACCATGTTTCACAAATGGGATAAGGTTTTTTCACTGGAATACATTGTTTTCCTGTCTCCAAACATAACACTTTTCATTTAAACCAAAAAGATCTATTTTGGCCTCTCCACAAAACATTGTTTCAGTAGCCTTCTGGCTTGTCCATGTGATCTTTAGCAAACTGCAGATGGGCAGCAATGTTCTTTTTAGAGAGCAGCAGCTTTCTCTTTGCAACCCTGCCATGCACACCATTGTTGTTCAGTCTTCTCCTGATGGTGGACTCATGAACATTAACATTAGCCACTGTGAGAGGCCTTTAGTTGCTTAGAAGTTACCCTGGGTTCCTTTGTGACCTAGCGGACTATTACACGCTTTGCTCTTGGTGTGATCTTTGTTGGTCGACCACTCCTGGGGAGTGTAACAATGGTCTGGAATTTCCTCCATTTGTACACAATCTGTCTGACTGTGGCTTGGTAGAGTCCGAACTCTTTAGAGATGGCTTTGTAACCTTTTCCAGCCTGATAAGCATCTACAACTCTTCTATATCTATGTAAATAGAAGAAACACTCTTGGTTCTTCGAAGGACCTTTTAATGGAGGTTCTTTATAAAAAACTTTTTTTTGAAAATAGGATGTGTCAGTGTGAAGGACCTTTTTGTTTTAAAGGTTTTAAGAACCTTCACGCAGTGTAAACGTTCTGGGTTCTTTATTCTGTGAAGGTTCCCTCGCACTTAAACATGGTTCTTTGGGAAACCAAAAGTGTTTCTTCTATGCCACTGCTCAGAGACCCTTTTCTTTTTTTTCTTTCTTTAAGAGATTGACATTATTGTGTTGAATAACCATTGTCCATTATTTGTCCAGGTTTACTGCATATATGTGTCTACTAAAAACTGCAATTATCACAGTTCATCGACTATAATAGATCACAGAAGCACCACCTTATTACATGCATGTCTGTCCATAACAGTCATAAGAAAAGAAACTCTCATCTATCCAGACCTTTATCTGAGCATTATCAAAAAGCTTATCACCGCTTTCCTCAGCCTTGTGCTCTTCAAAGCTATGAGAAAGCAAAGGGGATTGATCCACTGAGCAGGGCTGTTGTACTGCTGTACAAAGTTTGAAAAAGTGGGCATAGTGAGTGAAGTTATTGTTCCGTAATCCACGTCTGACTCAGTGTTAGGTCACCTGTAGGTCATCTGAGATTACCACCTCATTTTCTCACTTCTTAATCACTGCATTCTGCTGCTGAGGACCTGCAAGGTGCATTTGAACTCCTCTCTGTTCTGTACTTTATATCAGAGCAGTTCCTACATTAAGGGCTGCTCAAATATTTTGCATAAGGGGTTTTTTGGTGGGCTGAGGGCCAAGGCAAATACACAGACAAAAACTATACAAATGAAGGTGATGCAGGAGGCCTAAGGAGTGCACCTTGTTGAGTACAAAGGCTAGCTAGTAACTGTTAGCCTTACATTTTGGCACTAGGATCTAGGATCCCTAGGAAACATTGTTATTTAGCATTATTAGTTTCTGTTGTTACAGTACATGTTTAGTTAGATAGAGAATCTTTAAAGGGCCATGTTTGATGTCTGCATGAGTTTATGTACAAAACCAATTAAATTAAACAAGTTGCTTTTCTGATTGTATTTTCAAGACTGATGTATATAAATGTATGTAACTTCTGTCCTAATTGGTGGTTCTGTATTGAGTCTCAATCAAAAAAAGAAGCAGTCCAGACTGGAACACTCCTTTATAACTTCAGTGTGACTGGGTGGAGCTAACCTGCTTTAAGTTGAATGGGCAGATATATGCAAATGCATTTGTTTCTGTGACATTATAAAATCAGTGAGTTCAAAATGGGCCATTTTTACAGCCTAATTTCTATATATTCTGTATAATTTAAATTCTTTGTTGGCACTTAAACATCTCTTTATGTTGATTTCTCAGGTACATCCGCTCAGAGAGGTCCATCATTTTGGTGAACTTCTGCCTGTCCATACTGGCCTCCAACGTGCTAATACTAGTGGGACAGTCCCAGACACTCAGCAAGGTGAGTGCATGCATGTGGGTATGAATAGCTCTGTAAGACAGACTGAAGACCAAATTTCCCCTAAAGCCAGGCAAACCCATAGAAGTCACGGTTATCACCTGTGATAAGACAAGCATAGTTTAATAGTTGCTATCAACTATTCCAAACTTGTATCTCACTGAAACAAGTAAAGAAATTCTGTTGAAGGTGCAGATTGGAAACTTTAATCAGTAACACATCTATGTTTATAAGTAGAAGAGGAGATAGTTTAGTGTGATTTGAATACGGTGTAATATTATTGTCGTAGTTAACTGAAGAAAGGGCCATTCTTTACATTCTTGCCATGTTTTTGCCATTTCTTGCCATTTAAACAAATGGAATTTGTAGACCTGCTGATGCAGAATGCAAAGCTAATTCATTGTAATTCATTGCATATGCAGTTAAATATGTAATTTGACTAGTACAGCAAAAGAAAAGTGACTTCTAAGAGTTAATGCTTCAGTGTAAAATTATACATTTTGTCTTTCATCTACACATCATCATCCATGCCTATGAATCATTAATCCTCTGTCACTCATACTCACCATTGATGAAGTGATACTATTCTTAACAAACTTAAGCTGTTACAAAAATTACACTACACTTGTTGTTTGTACTGTTACTAGCAAGGTGAACGCAATCGTACGACTCGTCCTGCGGTCATCACCCCCGATTTGCCCAGTGAAGACGATGAGGTGCTGTTAGCTTGGGGTTTAGGCACTGAGGTAGGCACCAGGAAAGCCTGGCTTAAACCTTATGCTGCGTTTACATTGTGATGGTAGACAGTGATGGCAAACCAGATGTCCCATATTTTTCAATGGACGGTGTGATGATGATGGAAAATTGGCTACATGGACACCAAGTGTCTCATAGTGTGGCACAGCTAGTCATCTATATAAAAACATCAGTGTTTGACAGACTTCAATAAAATTTCAGTCTCCATGGCAACGTTTACATGGCTGCATGTCGCCACTAGTCGCAGTCCATCACTGTTTATATCACTTCTGCACTGAGACAGAACCAAGTTTTCAGCATGTGAACGCAGCATTACTGAGACCTGAGAAGGACCGATAGAAAAGCAGTTAGCATGTGCTAAGCCTGACTGTGGAAAGAAAGCTAATAGAAGACCTTCCCAGCAGGCTAGCCTCAGAAACTCCAGAGGTGGTGGTGCCATTCACTGCCAGCCTGCGCATGTTAGTGCTGTCCCTGACCTGTCACGACATAATGTAAGAGGCCATGATAGAATCTCAGGGAAATGGCAAGTCAAGGGCCGATTTTTTTTTAGACTGGCAGCTGGAACAGGCGGCGTTACTGGGGCCTCCAGGGGTCAGCTTTGTGTCAGCTGTGTCAATCACTGTAAGAGGGTGTGAGTGTGGCCACTGAGGCAGAATAGAGAAAAACACTGCCCCTCAAATTGAAGTAGTCGCTTTGGGCTGAAACGGAAACCAGAAATGCTGAAAGAACCTCAGCGTTGATTCAGCCGCTCCTTTTCTGACGTTATCTTTGTCGTGAAAGTATCGAGGGTGTAACGATTTTAACAAAGCATCGAAAAATCAAAAACAGTGTAGAGTAAGTTTAAAGCTGTATTGTCAATAGAGCTGCAGTCGACATAATCATTTAATCTGTCGACTTTTCGATTAATCAACTAATCTAATGATTGTTTCCGTTTTTTTTAATTAGATTAGAATTTTTTTTTTCTTTTCCATAAAATTTAAAACAAAAGCTTTTCATTGTTTATTAAAATCTCCAAACTGTTAATAAAAATTTTTTAAAAACTTTCTTTTTTTAATTAAAATCTTTCATTTAAAAAAAACAAAATTATTCCTTGCACAAGTTAATTCTCACTGAAACAGGAACATAATTGTTAGATTAGTCAATAAACTGAAAAATCAAACACAGTGTACAGGAATTTAAATCTGTACTGTCAATAAGGCTGAAAGTATGCGATTACTTTTATAAACGGTCTATCTACTGAGTCTTTTTTATTCGTTGATCAGTCTAACGATTATGTTCCTGTTCAGTGAGAATTAAATTATTATTTTTTGTAGACTTAGAGAAAAATTATAATTTAACTTGTATTAAAACAGAAACATAATTATTAGATTTGTCAATTAATGAAAAAATCAAAAACAGTGAATTTAGGAATTTAGATATGGTCAATTACGTCTATAATCGATTAATCACATTTTTTTTCCCTTGATTAATCAATTATTTGACTAACATAACAATTATGTTCCTGTTTCGGTGAGAATTAAATTATACAAAAAACCTACAAGAAATGTTATCATGCATTGCAGCAGGATTCTAGTTCTGCATGTTCTGACTTGTTGCTTCTGCTTGTGTAGAAGTGCTGAAGTACTGAAGTATTGAAGTATTCAAGAGTATTGAAATCATTCGGCATTAATGCATGTGGACATTATATGGTCCCTATGTTATATATTTTTTGTAACACTATACTTAAACTCTGCTGCATAGCACTGATATAACCATCCCATATGCTGTCACAAGTTGTCATCGCAGATTTTGTTCAGTAATATAACAGTGTCATATTACCATAACCGTCTTGGCCGATGCCATCAAGTTTGATGTTATGACAAAAATAGATTTAGCAAAAGTTAGCATGTGGCACAAAAGTACCAGTAATGATAACATGAAACTCTTATCTTACTGAATACAATTTGTCATGACAAGTCATGACAGCATCTCCCATGACATGTTTACTGAATGGTTATGTCGGTGTTGCGTAGTAGGGTTTAAATAAAGTGTTATCTTTTTTTTTAGTAAACTACACTTCGACAGTAAAAAATCCACATTGACCTTTTTTTGTAGTTGATGTTACTCATTTGGCATCTTAATGGCCATCTTGCTGCATCCTTTGAGAGTAAAGTGGGTGGGGGTGGGGTGGGATTTATGCACACACCCAAAATCAAATGGCTGAGCTTTTTTTCAGTATATATAGGTGATGCAATTTTTGGAAGCTTATTTTGCTAGAGGGCTGATGCCCTCTGATAAAAGTTCTGTTTGATCACTTTTGCTTTTCTAAGCCAAGCCAATCTGTGTGGAATGTAATTAGAGCTCTGTAGTCTCAACACCTTTTAAGACCTAGAATATCAAAAATCGAATTAAATCTTAACCTTAGAATTGAAAATTGTATCAACCCAGAAAATATTGTATCGTTACACCCCTACAAAGTACTAGCTTTAGAGTGGACTACTTAACTTGAAATTAAAAGCCATTAATTGCCATATCCCTCTCATCTCCGTTCATTTGTAGAGCGTAAATCATAGTTAACCTTAGTGGCTGAGTACTGTAATTGCATAGTGATCCTAAGCTTTTTGCTAACGCTTTTAGATAGTATGCCCCCCCCCCTCTTATCCTCTTTTCATTTCTCTTTACTGTGCTCTGGAATCACTCACCACTGCCTTAGAAGATGAGTGGCCCGTGTGCTTTAGTCCTTCCACTCCACACTGAAGTAGCCTCTGAGCTGCCACACTAGCACTCTGTAATGGCTGTATTCAGTGGCTGTATTCACAGCAGCAGTGATGTTAACTGTACTAGTGTGTTTCAGTTAGAGTGGGCTGTCTCTAATAAAAGCGACCTTCCCGCCCTTTCCCTCTCTCTCCATCTCTAATCTCAGCACACCTCGTCTCTAAAGAACGGCTGAGACCTGTTAGCATGCATGCTTACATCTGTGGACTGTCACTCACTCGCTCCCACTCATTCTGTGTCCTTTCTCTCCCTTCTTCCCTCTCTCCCTTCTTCCTCCCTTTCTCTCTGTCTTTCTCTCTCTCTCTCTCTCTCTCTCTCTCTCTCTCTCAGGGGCTGTGCACTGTGACCGCTGCCTTTCTGCATTTCTTCTTTCTGGCCTCTTTCTGCTGGGTGCTGACGGAGGCGTGGCAGTCTTACCTTGCCGTGATTGGCAAGATGAGGACACGCCTCATTCGCAAGCGTTTCCTGTGCCTGGGCTGGGGTAGGTCACTCTCTCTCTCTCTCTCTCTCTCTCTCTCTCTCTCTCTCTCTCACACACACAAACACACACACACACACAGGTTTGTTTTTCTTCAATAGCAGGATGTGGGGTAATACATATGTCCCATATGGGTTATACATTTGTATATCCTTGTTGTTAGATCAAAGCCTCACTGTAGCATATTGAGTACTACCCCAGAAGGACAGAGGAAGCTGGGGACAGGCGTTTGGGCAGCAGACCTGTCTGACTTTTATTTCCAACAAACACTAACAAAACTACTGCTTTTTGAGCAGCGTATCGCAAATAATCATAAACAGTGACTTTTCAAATAAAACAACAAATAAACAGTAGACTTTTCCGTTCTTTCTCATTAACATATGAGCTCCTCAGCTCGGCTGGTGTCATCTGCTGTTTGGTTGCCTCTGTCCTTCTTCTCTCCACTCTGCTTTTTGAAGGATGAGTGATAGGGAAAGAGAGAGAGAGAGAGAGAGATAGAGAGGAAAGAAAGAGAGATAGAAGCTACACTCCCAAGCCTTCCTGGTCGATTCGCCACAGCCACCGGTTTCAAAGCTGAGACTTGTGGCGGCCATGCTCTTTGCGGCCACAGACGTGCTCTTTGTGGCCCACAGCCGCTCCTTGCAGCCCTCAGTGGCTCCAGTTTAAAATTGGCCTCAGGCCTGGAGGAGTTAGAGGAGTAGATTTTTAAATCAAAACTTATTTACTTCTCAAATTGCCAAGAAACTTTAGATACATTTGACCTTAAAGCTGCACTTCGTAAGTTTTTTGGACCACGTCATGCATCTTCACGCATTAATATCATACACAGTCTCCAGAAGAAGATCCGGCTCAATGTTCGAGTCTCAAATGCAAAATCAACATTTTATCGATAAAGATATAATGACAATAGCAGCTCATTCACTTACATCAGGGGTCGGCAGCCCAAATGTTAAGACGAGCCATTTTGTCCTTAAAGCAGGCACCATTTAAGGTGGAATGGGTAAATTCTAATGAGAAACTGACTTCAGCTTTGTGACTTTTTAGTCTTTGACAGTTTCTTGTTGCAGATTAAACATATCAGGAAACCAGCTGGAGTGTTTATAAATGCAAATAAGTCTTCAAATTATCAGTGATCGTCTTAAATCTTGCTCTTTGCCGTTTTGTTAGCTACTAGCTAGGCAAGATTGTTTTCTGCGTTGCCCAGCGGTGACCAGCAGTTTGCGTACCAACCTGCAGGGTTAAAGGTCTGTGAATTAGCAGTTATACATTAACTCCAGCATTTTTTAACCTAAAAATCTAATTCTCAGGGCAGTAAAAGAGTCGCATGCGGCTCCAATGCTGCATGTTGCCGACCCCTGATTTACATCCTCGAAGGACATGTCCTTCAGCATATTTTGACTTCTGAGTTCTCTTTGAATACACATTCATAATCATCAGATTCAACCGCTTGGGGAAGAGGTCCGAAACACAGCCAGTGTTACAAAACGTCGTTCCGCATATTGCGTGCAATTACACATTTCCACCAGAGAGGTCTCCAAATCTCCCAAACTTACAGTGCAACTTTACTTCAGCAACAATCACGAAGACACAGAAAATAAAATATTGTTAGCCACCATGTAATAAAATATGTTTTCATTAGAGAAAAGTTTTTTAGGCTGTTGGTGATTGTGTGATAGACATTTGGACTAGCCACGTCATGAGATGTGAGATGTTTCCTATTGTAGTGAAAAGTTCTTACCCTTAACTTTAAACCTAACTTTAACCTGCATAAACAAAAAGACATTTTTCCATGGTTTTCTTACAAAGGCAGGACACTATTGTCCTCAAAATGTACGGAAACAAACACACACACACACACACACACACACACACACACCCCGACACAGTGGCTTAGATAGCCTCTTCAAAGCTCAAATGAGATTTTCAGTAATATGGCCTCACACCAGGCACAAGTTAACGTGACGGACTGCACCACTATGCCTGCTTCTTTCTCTATTCAGATGAGTGACACAGTGCAGTATGGCATGCCACTTCTGCTCTATTCAACCCTGTGACGTTCCACAATCTGGCTTCTCCATTCGCTTCAATGCAACCGAATGACACACCACAATATGGCATGCCACTTCAGCTCAGTGTTGTTGCTGTATTACTAGTCACAGATGTCGGATCAGAGATAAGAAATGTATAGGATAGCATCTTTCCAGCGTAGGCGAGATCCATGGAGATATCAGAGCAATTACAGCCCTACGTGGATTCGTTTTGAGCCTTATCGATCCAGCTATCTAATCCATTAATTCAGAGATGTTCTCGGCTGATACAGCGTTAGATTGGCATTTTTCCATATTAGAGGGGCATAGATGTGCTGCCACAGGTCTTGACTAAGACATCCACTGTATGATGCGTCATGAAAATTGCTTCAAACAAACAAATGAAACGGTTGCAAACTGTATTCCGATCACCAGAGAGTACACATATCTGATCTTCAAACCCAGAGCCAGTTGTTTTACAATGCTAAGATTGCACAAATTATATGTTTGAGTCTCTTTCATTAGCTAATTGTAGACGTCTGTCTGCTGCATTAGAATGAAGTATGTGTAATTATTAACAGTGCTACTAAACAAATGAGTTTTCTATCTCAGTGTGCACTACATTACACATGAAAATGTATTTACAGATGTTTGATTCAATATTTCATGTTTTTCAAGACCGATAAGAAGTTATTAAATTATGTATTGTAATTACTTATTTCTAGCAGTTTCTTGTTGCATTATCTGCCTCAATATTTAATCACTGCTTTTCAAATATGAAGCATTTTGGATGTTAATTGTATATCAACTTCATTCTCAATGTAACAGAGCTTTCTCAGTTATTGTGGAATAATTTACAGCTGTATTCACTACCTTTGGACATATCCAAGCTTAATTTTTCCAACAGACTATTTGAAACCTGTCAGGTTACACAGTACCAGTACATATTAGCATCATTTTACACAGGTGTCTGAATACTAATTGGTGAGCTAATTTCTTGCCCAGAAGCTCACTGGACAAAAAAATAGTCACCTGTGGCTGAAACGTTCCTAATAGAGTGTAATACCTCCACGAGCATGAATAACAGCTGAGATTCAAATTGACATGGACTGGACAAGTTTCTGGATTTAGGTAACATCAGTGTTCAGCTAGTCTTGCATCAAAGAATTGTGCAGTTCGGCCAGATTTTCTGGCGTCTTACTCATTGTTCCAGGTAGTCCCACAGATTTTCAAGAGGATTCAAATTTGGGGATTTTGCAGGCCAGTCCAGATGTGTGAATGCTCCTGAATGTTCATCATGCCAATCAGTCACATTCGCAGCCTTATGAAGGCGAGAATTGTTATCTAATACAGGAATACAGGGATAGGAATGTTATGTTCCTTAGTAGGATGATGAGCAAAAAGCAAAACCTGGTTGTCCAGCAGATCAGTGTAGGCCAAAGGATCCATTTCCATGTCATTAAAACACCCCCAGAACATCACAGAGCCTCCTCCAGCTTGAACCACACCTTGCGCACAGTCCTTGTTGAAGGTTTCCTGAGGTCTACGATGAACATGACGCCTAGCATCATTCACATACAGGCAGAAACGAGATTCGCTGACCAGATAACACGTTTCCAGTCATGAATTGTCCAATTTTTGTGTCTCTTCGCCCACTGTGACCGGGCAACTTTGTGAGCAGAAGTGAGCAAAGGCCTCTTGCATGCCACTCTTCTCCACATGTTCATGGTATACGGTTCTCTGCGGAGTGTTCTTTCAGAAATTGGTTGTGAAGAACCTGCGTTGAATTCTAGAAGCAATTCACTGCACTGTGCCACCTCTTCTCAATCTATGAATCCCATCGCACACCCTGAAGGTATTAGCCCAATCATCCTCATGCAATGCCTGCAGGAGCCTGAATTTACTTCCACCTTAAACACGCAAGGCGACAATTTTTTTTTATTTTTTGTCCGGGAAGCTTATATTGGTGTTATATTATTGGAAATAGTGACCAAACATTTAAACCTTAGTGTATGTGTTGCTTTAGTGTGTTCAAAAGTGGAAACAGAGATAATTGTATGTTTGTATTTAAGTCTAAAATTACAATTAATAAAAGCAATTGTAACATCTTATAACAAGCAGTTATCACTGTGATATTGTATCTTGTTGAGGGCAGTTCGCAGACTGCTGTTTGTTCATCTGATGAAGCAGACACTGATATACAGTCATTTGCAAAAGTATAGGCACCCTTGGTCAAGTTACGTATTTTGGTTGATTTTCTAAGTAGAAACAAGTTAACAAACTCTACAGAGAACATACATACACTGCACATTGTAATGCACAGTTACTGTGTGCTTGCTGAATTTAACATATTGGAAATAAAACATAAAATGTGGCCTGTGCAAATGCTATGGCACATTATGGCATATTTCAACCTCAGCAAATAAATAAAAAAACTTATGTTAGCTTATTTTCACTTAGTTAGCAGAACATGTTGTTTGACTGGGAGTATTCTTCTGTCCTCCTGCATTTTTTTTTCCACACCAACTGCTTTTGTAACTTGTGTGCATGAACAGAGCATAAACTCCTAACAGCAAGAGTACAGCAATGGGACCAATGGAGTTATGATCTTGTTGGCCTAGTAGTTGCACAGCAGTTCCTGCATGTGTGTCATGATGATAATGACAAGCTCTGCTAGTGTCACCTTACATGAACAGAACTTTGTGATTGTGATTTTAACCCAGTAAATAAGACTGCTGTTAGTTCTGACACATATTAAACTGTTGAACTGCAGGCATCAAACTCAGCTCTTTTTCCCTCTCTCTCTGTTAATGAATTAGAAAACTTGTTTGCTGCATGGAAAGTCGTGCAACAAGGGCTATAATTTGGAGGCTCACAAACTAATTCAGCTATTAAAGAAGGACTGCATGTTTAAAAATATCTCCAGTAATGGTCACCTACCCATAATGTGGAGGAATCACTAGAAAACAAGAGCTA